AGTATAGAAAGAGGGTCTCGCCCGAGAGCGCCTAAGAGAGTAGGGGAGTTGGCCATACACTGCTTCAATTGCTGGAAGGCCTCTTCGGATTCAGTGGTCCACTCAAAGGCTTGCTGAAGGACTTTGAAAAAGGGGAGGCACTTGTCTGTTACACAAGAAATAAAACGGTTGAGGGCGGCGACTCTGCCAGTAAGCCTTTGAACCTCTTTAACCGTTCTGGGTGACTGCATTTCTATCAGAGCTTTGATCTTTTCGAGGTTGGCCTTGATACCCCGCTGACTGACCATAAAACCCAAGAACTTCCCAGATCTTACGCTGAATGCGCATTTCTCTGGATTCAGCTTCATTTAATACTTACGTAGGGTTTCGAAAGTCTCTCGCAGGTCTGTCAGATGATCAGAGGAGAGTTTTCTTTTGACGAGCATGTCATCGACGTAGGTTTCCATGTTCTGACCTATTTGATGGTGAAAGACGGCATTGACCAACCGTTTGTAAGTTGCTCCGACATTTTTCAATCCAAATGGCATAACACGATAGTGGTAAGTTCCCCTGTCTGTGATAAATGATGTGTGTTCCTGGTCTACCGGGTGCATCAGAATTTGGTTGTAGCCAGAGAAGATGTCCATGAAACTAAGCATTTGATGTTCGGCCATGACGTCGACAAGCAGATCTATGCGGGGAAGGGATAACTATCTTTGAGGCAAGCCCCATTAAGGTCGGAGTAATCACCGCAGAGTTGCTACTTACCGTTGTTTTTATGGACCAGGACCACATTTGACAGCCATCTGGGATAATCTACGTTCTTGACAAACCGTGTCTTTAGGAGTTTGTCTACCTCAGAAGTAATAAGGGCATTGCGTTCTGGGTGGAAGACACGCTGCTTCTGGCGAAAGGGTCGGAAATAGGGCTTGATATTGAGACGATGAGTGATGAAGGAGGGATCGATACCCAGCATGTCGGAATGGATCTAGGCAAACACATCATTGTGCTCGGTCAGGAGGGCTGTAAGGTTGGCATTGGCTTGGGAGGATAAGTGGCTGTCGATCTTGGCTGTTTTTGTTGGGTTGGTGGGGTCGATGGGGACTTCAACAAGTTCTTCCACTGGTTCCCCTCTGACTAACTCGTCTTCGTCTCTAACGTCGAGTCCTTCAATGATCATAGCCTCTTTCAGCTTGATCTCTTTGAGTGAAGCGACGTAGCATTCTCTGGCCACAGTCTGCTCTTCCTTCACGGTGCCGACCTTGAGGTCGGTAGGAAATTTCATGGCCAGATGGTATGTAGATGTGACAGCTTGAAAAGCGTTAAAGACTGTACGACCGAGGATGATGTTATAAATAGAGGGACAGTCAACGACGAGGAAAGTGAGTAACTTGGTGGTCTGTCGTGGGTACTCTCCGATGGTGATGAGAAGATCAATGGTGCCTATGGAGGTTACCCAATCCCCCGTGAAGCCGACCAGTGGGGTTTGGAGATGGGACAATCTTTCCTTCCCGACCTTGAGCTGCCGATAGGCGTTCAAGAAGATGATATTTGAGGAGCTGCCGTTGTCGACAAGCATTCGATTGACCTTGTAATTGGACAAGAGAGCAGAGATGACGAGGGGGTTGTCATGAGGGTAACGAATGCTTGTACAATCGGCCTCCGTAAAGGTGATGGGTTCCATTCACTGTTTAGGGTGTTTGAAAGGGCAATCCAATGTCGCGACTTCTTTGTCGGAGCCCTGCCTGATTTTTCTGAGTTCTGCTCGTTGGGCTGAACGGGATGGTCCTCCGCATGCCAGCCCGCCAGCAATGACTCGAATCTCTCAAACCGGGAGGGCAGTGTTGCCTTGCCCTCGGGGTTATGGTAGGGGCCGATCGTTGCTTTGGTTAGGTTGTGCGGGTTGTCGGGGAGGGGTGTGTCAGCGATTGGACGTGGTGGGTTCGGTTCTTGGCCGTTGCTGGGGACGGGTTATCGTGAATCGACTGAGGCGCCCCTGGCGAATCAAACTTTCTACCTAGTCCTTAAGGCTAACACATTCCTCAGTATTGTGGCAATGGTCTTGATGGAAACAGCCGTATTTGGATTGGTCTCGCTGGTTGGAAGGGGACCGCGAGGGTTGTGGCCATTTCAAGTTGTGATCTCATTGGATCTGGTTTAGGACTTGTTCCATGGGCGAGTTGAGGGGTGTGTACCGTTTGAACTGATCGGGTGGTTGGTTAGGTGCCGCTCGATCGGCATGAGCGGTTCGGTCGGTATACTGAAGTGTTTGCTGTGTGTATTGGGTGGTTCTGGTTTCAGATTCCTTTCTCTTCTCTTTGAGGGTTGGGTTTTTGGTTGTGGAATCTTGGCTGGCGGCTAGAGAATCTTCGGCATTCATGTATTTTTGGGCTTTAGAAAGGAGGGTTGCCATGGAGGTTGGAGGGTTTTTGGAGAGGGAGAAAAGGAAATCAGATGATCCTAAACCAGCCATGAAAGCCGTGAGAATGACCTTGTCGTCATTTTCTGCCACCTGCAAGGCTTCAGTGTTGAAACGGGTGACGAAACTACGCAGTGACTCCCCCTCCGTTTGATGGATGTTGAGGAGCTAGGTTGTCGGATGCCGCTGGCGCTGGACACCAATGAAGTGGCTAGGAAAGAAAGCACTTAGGTGCTAGAAAGTAGAGACGGAGTCCGTCGACAGTTGACTAAACCACAGTCGGGCTGACCCCTTAAGTATTACGGGGAAAACTCGACACATGATCTCATCAGGGAATGCATGGAGGACCATCAGGGTTTTGTAAGTCTCCAAGTGGTCGACTGGGTCCGTTGTATAGTTGAAAGAGTCGATTGAGGGCATTTTGAACTTAGGAGGTAGGGGTTTGTCCCTGATGGAGGTGACAAACGGTGAATTGGCTATTGTGGAGGGTTTATTCTGTATGTTCTGAATGACTCCTTGAAGTTGGAGTTTCATAGCTCGGAGTTCCGCATCCCAGATAGGAACGTTGTCACCACCAGAATGCAACGGAGGCTGGATACTACTGGCCTCTCCCTCGGGAGCAGGTGCTTGGATTGATGGATGTGGAGCTTGATGTGGCGAGTTCATATCTTAGAGAGGGGGTCGCAAACCCTCCAAGTTGGAAGGATGGGCTTGTTGGAAGGGATGGCTTGAAGTTCGTTATCGGTTGGGTGGGATATCTTGTGGTGGTGAAGGAGGTAAAGGGAGGTCTCGTTGAAGCAAAGCGTTGATCAGGGCTTGGTTTTGCTCGGCTAGGCAGTTGATGCTGTTGGTGAGTTCTGTGAAATATTGCGGTGGGTTGTTCGGGTTAGGAGGGTCGGCTTGGGGGTCGGCAACGTTGTGTTGAGAGGCCATGTATCTAGTTGTGACCATTCACCTTGGTGGGTGGCAGGTAGGGATAATCGGGAATGGGTCTCTGGCAACAATGAGCACAATTGTCACACGGAGTGAAAGGTTCCCACAGACGGCGCCAACTGATGATAGTAATTGGTTCTTGAGGAATAAGACGAGTTAATCTAGGCCTCCCACATCGCTGTCCGATCGCTAGGCCCATTGAGAAACCTGCACAAGAGTCCAACGGGGAACGGGAGTCCCCCAGCGAACCCTCCGACGAGCAAGTTAGAGAAGAGAGATCAACGGATTATAGAGATAGGATGGTGATAAAGAGCTTAACCTTCTCTTTGTCTTAGAAATCTGCTTATAGCTTTTGTTCATCATTTCCTTGTCCACTCAGACTTGTCATGTTGGCCGAAAGGCTATGCTCGAGCTTGCCTTGTTGATGGTGAGGCTGTTCTGTTCCGACGTGAAGGGGTTATTGCAATAAATGCTGCAGGGAACCTCATTGATGACTGATATGTGATGCAATAACTCTGCAGGATCTTTGTCTGCTTTATGTAGCTGGTTTTTCTCTTGACAAGTGTTTAGATGCCATTGATTCTTGGTGCAACGTTGAGTTCCAAGGATGTTGGGTTTTAGTATTTAAATCATGAATTGGGCCTTAAGTATGTCAAAATTCATTATTTAGTTTTCAAGGGTTCAACATTTCTTTTTTTTGGATTGATAGTTTAGGGTTTATTTGATTGGAGAATTTGATGAGAAAAATTAAAAGAGAGAAGAAAATATAATCTCACTTTTTATTTGCTTATAATGAAAAACATGCAGAAAAAAAAAAAGTGAAAGGGAGATACAATTCTACTTTTGTCTTTTAACTCTTTTCTTTTGTTATTTCTCAACTCAACTAAATATAATTTGAAATTCGAATTTTATCAATTTATTTTTCTTTTCTTTCTACTTTTTTTTTTTCTTTTATTCTCATCAAATCTTTTAATCAAACACAATTTAGGAGTAAAAGGAAAAGATTTGGATAGAATTTTTATTTATTTATTATTATTATTATTTTTATAAAAGTAGAATATGACACATTTTTTCTGACTAATTGGGAGATAGAATATGAGATTTTTAGTTTTCAAATAACTAATATTTTATACTTTTAAGGTCATTCACTTTACATTTTTTTCAAGGAGAATGGCCCACAACATTTTTATTAAAGCTTTTAAATACTTAATGAGCGTGACTCTATCCCTCACGTGAAATTTACACTATATAAAATTAATAAAAATATTAAATTTTAGCATTATTTTTTTATTATTATATAAAATAAAATTTTGTAATAATTCTTTATATATGTACTTTAATTATGCTATGATCAATTTTTTTACATTAATAGTTATTTTGATATATTTAATTATATCTTATGTAATGTTTAATTATAATTTTTTTTAGTTATAATTTAAAAATATAAAATTATCACATATTTTTTTAACAAAAATGTCTAGATCCCCAGTTGGAGGTGTTGGGGTCGGCTCCTATTGACCCAAAAAATATATATATATATATTTTTTTTTGATTTCAGCCAACCCCAGTGCGCCACGTCACTGGGTCTGTAGCATAACCCTTTTTTTAATTATAAGATATATGTAGGACATCATTTTGAGAGACGTGTGCACCTTCCCTCCCTCTCCTTCTCATGCTTTCCTTTCCTTCACATCTCATGCTTTCCTTTCCTTCACAACTAAACTCACTAATCAAATAACCGAATTAAAAAGTCAACAGTTACCTCTCATTCACGATTAGTAATTGACATTTTTTATTTAATTTATTCCATAACAAATCTGAGTCCGATTCATGATCCATTATGGAGAAGATTCAAATCCCATGATTCGATCCATCTCGATATGACCCAAATCGTGCGATTCGCATGGTTTCATCTACTCATTTCGCCATGAAATTCAAAACTTGTTGACCCCCAGACGGAGAGAACCAGAGGAGAGACATGTCTTCTTCTTCTTCTTCTTCTTCTTCTCTCTCTTCTCTTCTCTTCTCGACCCATTTCATCTTCACCTTCCTCACCATCTCTTCTCTATTCACATCACATACACATGGCCTGAAATCACTGTTTCATCCAAAGGACTTACTACCTCTGTTGCCGAGACCAGTCTCATGGCCTATTCTCAAGTCTCTAAACAGTGCAGTCGACATTTTGCCCACTTTCGTGGGTGCTGCTGTTTCGCCCCCAAACGACGCCTTGGAGTGGAAGGGCACTTGCTTTTACAAGAACCGCGCTTGGATGGAGTTTCACAACAAAAGCGGCTCTGAATTTGGTGGTGGCACTCTTCACATCAAGGTCTGTGTGTTCGTATTTGGGTTTTTGTGTTTTTCTGCTTTATTGATGATTTAGTTTTGGTTTTGGCGAAATTTGGGGTATTGGGTATGTGGGTGCTACTCAACTTGCTGTTTGAAACTTTGAATTGATGTTTTTGTAAATAAGTTAATTGTTGGTTTGAGGGTTTGTTTGTGTGTATTTTTATTTGGGGTTTTGTGTTCTTTTACTTTAGTGATGATTTAGTTTTGGTTTTGGCGAAATTTGGGTTATTGGGTATGTGGGTGCTACTGAACTTGCTGTTTGAAACTTTGAATTGATGTTTTTGTAAATAGTTCATTGTTGGTTTGAGGGTTTGTGTGTATATTTATTTGGGTTTTTGTATGCTTTTACTTTAGTGATGATTTAGTTTTGGTTTTGGTGAAATTTGGGGTATTGGTTATGTGGGTGGTACTGAACTTGCTGTTTGAAACTTTGAATTGATGTTTTTGGTAAATAAGATCATTGTTGGTTTGAGAGTTTGTGTGTATATTTATTTGGGTTTTTGTGTTCTTTTACTTTAGTGATGATTTAGTTTCAATTTTGGCGAAATTTGGGGTATTGGGCATGTGGGTGGTACTGAACTTGCTGTTTGAAACTTTTACACTCTGGATTGAGGGGTTTGGTGAGAAAAGAAAAGAAATAGAGAGAATGAGGTTTCTCATGACTTGTTTGGATGATTAATGATGTGAGTAATGGTGAGAAAGGAAGAGAAATGGTGAGAAAGACAAATCACAGCAAACTTAAATTTTGTAAATCTTATTTTCATTGTTGTTTTGTGGGTTTGTGGTTAGAACTTGTGGATGTTGGTCTTCCTTAATGTTGCTCTGTGACTGAGCTTCTCTGTGTATGTTTTGTTTACTTTCTTAATAAATTTGATTGGTGTTTGTGGTTTTAAACCAAACCAAACCAAACCAAGCCTTAATCCCATCAAATAGGGTCGGCTACAGGAATCCTTCTTCTTCAATCGATTCTATCAACAGTCGTTTGGTTAGTCAAATTAAAGATATTCATATATCTATTTACTACACTAGCCCACGTCAATTTAGGTTTGCCCCTTCCTCTGACACTTTCATCTACCGTCACTGTATCGTATCTCTTCACTACTATCTCTATTGGTTTCCGTTGTATATGACCGAACCATCGCAATCTATTATCTCTCAACTTATCTTCTATTGGTATTACTCATACCCATTTACTAATATACATTACTGACTCTGTCTTTTCTAGTCTTGCCACATATCCACCTTAACTTCCTCATTTCAGCAGCACTCATCTTATTTACATGTTGTTTCTTAGTTGCTCGACATTCCGTCCTATACAACATCGCTAGTCTAATAGCCGTTCTATAGAACTTTCATTTTAGTCTAGTGGATTCTCGTTTATCGCACAGTACTCCGGACGCACTCTTCCACTTAAGCCACCCAGCGTTAATTTTATGGACCACAAAAATGACCTAGTTTTGGATATAATTTGGCTCTCTTTTAAAATTATTGTTGATTTCTAGACTTTGGGATTTCGGATGTTTGGGTATTGATGTTGTTGAGATTACTACCTGAATTTGAGTTTTTGGTTGTTCGAGGATTTGAACGGTTTTGTTCTCGAACTTTGTTGCTGGAGTTGGTGGTTGTTATGACTTTTCTGTTTGTGGACTGGTCTAGTAACAGAGTCTTTTACAATTTTGGAGTATTGGGTACCTGCGGATTGTGCTACTTGCATCTTCTATTAGGGCTTTTTTGTTGCTTTACTTTTTATTGGATGTCTTCAGTGGGTTACTTAAATGTTTGTCGTGAGCACAAACAGATATGATTTGGCTTATACGTATAGATTGCTCTAAGTTTTTGGCCGATTGTGTTGAAAATTAAAATGTTGGGGAATTTGGTTTATGTGCGTGTAAGTTTCCAGACATGCTGTATTTGAGGTTTTGTTGGTTTTCTTCCAATGACTCTTTAAGGGGATTCGTCTAGTTGTTTACATGTTGATTTGCTTCTTGGCAATTCATATGTTTCCATTATATATTCTTGCATCCTTGCTAGATTCTTTTTAGCTAATCATGAGTTATTCAGGAATGTAAATTATTTAGTATAGGCATTTAATTAAAATTGGAAAATTTCAGTGGATCTTCTCTCATGTGAGTTTGGTAAAACACAATCAATCACCATTTAACCCATGTTAAAAGAGATGTAACTTGGCACAGAATGCTCAACATGCTCACTGGAAGGTGGTTGTAGGAAAGATTAAATCATATATTTTATTTTTACTGATTAAACACTTAAAAGTTTCAGCTCTAATATTTTCTGTACTTCTTATATAACCTGTAATATATTAGGTCTTTCAGATTTACACCCTCAATTGCTTCATTAGTCCAATAATTTATATCTTCTTCTTTTTCTTCTTCTTCAGGTTAGCAATGCTCATAGTTGGACATGTATGGATCTTTATCTCTTTGCAACTCCATACCGTGTGACATGGGACTACTATTTTTTAGCTCGTGAACATACCCTTGAGTTCAAGGAATGGGAAGGGAAAGCTGAGTTTGAATATGTGAGTTGCCACTTTTTATGTTTTTCAGGACTTGCTACACCAGTTTGTCTTGAACTTGCATTTCTTTATAGACAATGTCTTACTTTCTATGAGAACAGGTGAAACATAAGGGTGTTTCAATTTTTCTCATGGAAGCGGGAATGCTTGGGACCCTTGAAGCGCTGTGGGATGTCTTTCCCTTATTCACAAATACAGGATGGGGTGAGAGCTCAAACATTGGGTTTCTCAAGAGTCATATGGGGGCTACCTTTGTACAACGTCCTCAGCCATGGGTTACAAACATTAGTGTTGATGATATTCACTCTGGAGATTTCCTCGCAGTATCCAAAATCCGGGGCCGATGGGGCGGTTTTGAGACTCTGGAGAAGTGGGTCACGGGAGCTTATGCTGGTCATAGCGCAGTTTGCTTAAAGGATCCTGAAGGAAAGCTATGGGTTGCAGAATCTGGACATGAAGATGAGGAGGTACTTCCATACTAGTTGCCTTAATTCAGTAACTCTTTTAACAGAAATTTATGCTCCCATGAGTTATAATTCCATTGGATCAATTAGTTTTGGTTGTATGTCCCCACCACATTTGATTCCTCAGAGGTTTTTCATTTACATTTGCTTTCTTATATGTGACCTGCATGTTATTCCAATTATTGCTTAACTGGGCTCCATGGGTTGAAGGTCCAATATCTGTTTCTTCATAAACATCTTTCCTTGCCTAGATTCAAAAATCCAAAAAATTCATTGCAATTATGCAAATTGGAAGATGTTGCAGGGATGAGATATATCGAATTTGGATGAGTTTTGCACTCTAATATATCCTCTTATATTGCAATATAGATATATGATGCGGGATATTAATAGAAATTTTATGTCTGATTTCAAATTTTATGAATTATGAGTTGATAATTTTTAGGATTTGCTGTGAGATGATTGTTGATAGGAGGAATGGAGGATTGGAGTAGGATTGAGGTTTATTAGGATTCTAGATGGTTTGTTCTGTGATATCATTAGGGTGAGTCGGTGACACTGCTTTACAGCAGAGAACTGTAAGAAAAAAGACAATTGAGGTGACTAGAAGAAGAGGGACAAGAAAGTAATTTGGGAATCCCACACCTAAGGTGTTAATTATCACCTTCAGTCAATCTTAGATAACAGGGCAATGATTAAGCTGCTTCAAGGTTTAAATTCTCAATGGGTTGTTACTATATTTTGAACCCTTCTCACTGGCTTGTAAACTTCGATTGCAAAAAATTTGGTCCATAAATTGAACTTAAGTCTAAGTGACGTTAATAAATGGTTAACGAGATCCAGAAAATTCAATTTCTAATTATTTCTTGCTGCTTGTGTAAATAATATAATACTGGTAAGTGAAGAGAACTCATTACGGTTGTGTAAAAGTAATGCCACGGTAAGTCACTGCACTATTGTACTTCTAACATGAAAAATGAAAAGCAACTCCTTTGCCATGTTAGTGTTGCCTAAGCATCTGGGCTCTAGAACCAAGCCCTCAAGGCCTGCTCTTATGGGTAAATTTTTGCACTGGATGCCAATAACTGTTTCCAGGAGTGTGGGACACAAGTTCCCTTGAATAAGTTAATAGTTGTTGACTGTATAATGACCAAAGGTAAATGATACATTTCTGCCTCCTTCTTTCACCTTTGGTGAAATCAGGATGTGAGGCACGAAAAAGTTATTGAGCCTTCTCTCCAAATTCTTATATGTTGGAACCTTCCTCTATAGTCTCTTTCTTTGCTTTCCCTTTTTTTTTTTTTGAAAAAAAAAAAAAATTCTTATGTGGACCCAGCCAGTCCCTGGTCATATGCAATCCCCCCATCCCACATGCATCTGGTAATTGCTGAGAGAAATCCTTTGGGGTGGCCCCAAATGGCATGGCTTGAACACAGGGCTTCTTTGTTCCAAGGCAAGATTGTGGCCATCTCATCTTCACTTGGGGCTAACCTCTCTTTCAATCTGAAAGTGTGCATTTTATGCTAAAATGTTTGTAAATTAAGTTTAAGGTGCATGTGGCCAAACCTACAACCTTTTTTTCATGCATTTGAAATTTTGGCTTGATTTATCAATGGTTTTGAGGAAAAAGAAAAAGGGATGATAATAGTTTATCATGTAATGCAACAAAGATTTTTACTTTTTGAGCTGATTTTCTAATTCAGAATCCTGGCATTTGCATTCATACAAGTTTTCTTGGTGTACATACATACATAATGAGCTGTTTCACCGACCTTCTCATTTTGCAATTTTTGATCTTCTGTATACGGGTTGTAACCCAGTTGATTGTTTTCTCCCTTGTTACATAACTTATTTGAGTATTTTTTAGATGTGGCTAATTGAAGTGTAAGATCCTTAATTCCCACTATCTTGAATTATTATTTTTTGAACATTTCTTCTCATTTGGTTGTAATTTGTGCATTGAGCTGTCCACTATTACAGCCTTTAAGGAGATTCTTACACCTTCCCTTGTAAAATGCACTCTGCTGTGATGGAAAGAATGGAGCCAAGCTTATCAAATAAAATTTCAGCTGCCTATTTTGCACAATGGTACATTTTTCTGTAGATGAGTGTAGTGTGTATGCTGAAGTTTTAGCATAGCCTTTGGTACATTGTACTTCTTCTACAAATTGTCGTTAGTTCCATATTGTTGCCACTTTAAACCAAACATGACTTAAAACTCATGTAAAACTGGTGTTTCACATTTTCGTTTTAGGGATATGTTATAATTGATGTTTTGCCATGGGATGAGTGGTGGAACTTTGAGCTCACTAAAGATGAGTCCAATCCACATATTGCACTTCTTCCTTTGCATCCTGATGTCCGGGCCAAGTTTAATGAGACTGCTGCTTGGGAGTATGCTTTAAGCATGGTGGGCAAGCCTTATGGTTATCATAACCTGATATTTAGCTGGATTGACACTATTGATGGGAACTATCCGCCTCCCTTGGATGCTCATGTGGTAATACATTTATTTTTCCTTTTCATATTTTATTGTTTGGGCCTAGTTTGCAAAATAAGTAGAGATATACTTTTTCTATTTTATTTAAGCTTTTCGTTGTCAACATTTATGCAATTTATTAATATTTCTATTGTATGGTTTGGTACCATTTGATAAACCAAACCAATCCTTAAGTCTCATCAAATGGGGTCGGCTATATGAATTTGCTGGAAATTTGTGATAATGTATATAATATGATAGTGGTGTTGGTGAAGGATAGTGGCATGTATAGAATATGATAGTGGTGTTGGTGGTAGATAGTGGCATGTATATAATATGATAGTGGTAGATAGTGGTAATATATAATATGTAAGTGGCATATAATGGGTTATAATGATGTTTGTAATATCTCCTATATAAGGAGTGTCATTTGGTCTTGTAAGATAAGAAGTTTTGAATATAACACAAATATATTCCTTCTTCCTCATATTTTCGGAGTTCTTCTTCCTCATATTTTCTAAGTGAATTCTTCTCCACTTGACTCTATCAACGGTGATGGGTCGTTTCACACACCAAAATTAAACACTAAATTATACCAAATTCTATTAGAATAATGGCAAATCCAGGTATCAATCCACAAGGACAATTGTGAAATTAAACTAATTTAATTGTTAAATTCCTAAATTAATGTTGATAAAAAGATTAATTGTTCATGACCTAATAATAATTAAATCAAGCAAAGCGAATAAACTAGTAATTATAAATAAAGATGAATTTACTGATTTGGGAAAAAACCTAGGGCAATGGGTTCACTACTAGTTACGTAAATAAGGTTTCAATTTGAAATCAATTATGCTACGGTTTGAACGGAATAATACTTTGCAACTACAAGTTCGAAGCATTTATCAAGAAAATCATCACGTTCAATGTACGGGCACGAACCATCTCAAGTAGTACGAATTGTTCGCTCTAAACTAGGATAGCAACACGACTCGTCTCTCATAGTATGGTTCGTCTTATACCTTGAATATGAAAGAATAGAAAACTATTGTATGGAAAACACTCAACAATCACAGAGAGCCGAATACTCGAAGAAGTAGTGGAAAATATATATATGAAACTTCTAAAACACCATACAATTGTTTAAACCTTTACAGAATCAAAAACAAAAAAGAAACCCTAATTACATAGCTAGGGTTTCATCAAAACCCTAGAAAAGAAGAGCTTAGCCACTCATGGAGGAGTGGGAAGAGGTGGAAGAGATGGAACCCTCTATGAGAATTTGCTTTGAAGATTGAGAATCACCTTTCCCAAACCCTAGCCTCCTCTTTCTTCTTCCAAATTTCTAAATCCTAATCTAACCTATTTTTTGCCTTTTAATCCCTTGGCTGTCTTTCAAACAGGTTCAAAACAGCGGCACAAAATCTGAGGTACGGCCGCACGTGCGGGAGTGGTCACCGTACGTGTGGGAAGGGGTGCCGCACGTGCGGGAAAAACCCTCCGCACGTGCGGGAAGCTAAGGTTCTATTTGGCTGTGAGGTAAAGGCCACACGTGCAGGAAGGAATTTTCTGCTCATTTTATGCTCCCACTATGTACAAACCTAATTGACATTAAACAGGCATAAAATGTATAGTTTATCAGGCAAGTTAAGAGATCCTAATTAACGTCCTCAATGTTGCACAATTCGGCTTTAATCAAACGGCTATTTGGTTAGTCAAATTAAGGAGAGGTTTGGTACCATTTGATATTTCAAAGAATTATATTCCGCCCACTACTGCTTTGAATCCTAAGGCTATGAGGTATAACTTGATTATAAACACTATTAGTGATTTATCTAACATGTAATATTGCACAAGCACTAAAAAATTATGTAAATGGCACTCGAAGCGTAAACCAGATATCTCAAGACTACACCTTAAGGAGTGGATATCCCAAATTCAAGCTGGCCCACAAAGGAGCCAGCCCATCGGATTTCCAAGGGTTATTTAAAAAAAAAAAAAAACTGAATTTTGATTCTCATACTTCGACGGCAAAGTTAACTTCATGCTGGCCTTTGGGTTTGCTATGTTCTATGATCTTTGCACACCCTTGAGATATGCTTAGGAATCGGGCAATTGAGAATCAATTTATTAATGAATTAGACAATTAGATGTGTTTGGTTGTAAAAATGAAATAATTAGAAGATCTACAAAATTTGCTTTTTTCCATGAAATTTTAAATGTGTTCAATTAATTCATTACTACCTACCACATTCCAGAGGCATGTAAAGGTTGAAAAGGTTAAGACTGGCAGTACCATAATGATGACACTAATAATGTAGAACTTATTTGCTGGTGCTGCGTTCCTTTCTGTCTCCTCTTTCTCCTGTATATTATGCAGCGTGGGGGGTTTTATTTTCATTTACTGGTTTTGATTGTCAAATTTGTTACGGAACAGGTTGCTTCTGTTATGACCGTTTGGAATAATGTACAGCCTGATTATGCTGCTAACATGTGGAATGAAGCCTTGAACAAGCGACTTGAAACTAAGGTATTGTAACAATTTATTCCTCATTTTATTGGCTGAAAGTTCATAAAGGTTTGCTTGTTGAAAAACGTAGTTTAAATAGATGGAATTCTCATGACCGAAAGAGGATTCCCATGGTTATCTATTTGGGTCCTTTTATATTGAGGAATGGTGTATCAGGCATCTGTATCTCTAGAGTGCAATTGGGATAGTGAAAAAAAAAAAAAAAGAATTTATCTCATTTAACTAAGCATATAGTTTTTGATAGAGCTGAATGGTGAAAAAGGATTCATGTAGCTTACGATTACCCCGATTGATTGAAATGTAAGGCTTAATTTGGTTTGGTTTGGTTTGGTTTGTTTTGTCATCAAAGACGACTTGGAAATGTATTGGTACTGGCAGTTCATGAGATTAATCGACAATCTCTTGGACCAAATCTAGACAAGATGGTTTGATCCTAACCAGCAAGCCATTGAATTTAGACGTTGGTCTGGATGAAGTGATATACAATAACTAATAGCATCATTAAATTCTGGTGTAATACTTAAAATAAATGAAATGTGTACTTGTCTGTATTTGTTTAAATATTTGATTTGACATTGGACTTCTGTGTAGGGCCTTGATCTTCCTGAAATTATTGTAGAAGCTGAAAGGCGTGGGTCATCTTTTGATGAATTGTTGACAATTCCCGAGCAAGACGATTGGATATACACTGATGGAAAGTCTACATCATGTGTCGTTTTCATTCTTGAAATGTACAAGGAAGCAGGGTTGTTTGATCCAATTGCAAACTCCATTCAAGTTACAGAGTTTACGGTGAGTTTGTTGTGAATATTCAATTTCATTAATTTAAATAACAAAAGTCTCTAATTTGCATCCAATTGATGTTGCATGATCTGTAAAATGGTTTTATTTATTTATTGAAATGGCTTATATGTAAATCCAGTACTTAGATGGTTTAAAGTATGTTATTGTATTTGCATGAGGTTGGAAGATCTGCTGTCTGAACCCTCACGTTTCACCTAAGTTTGCATTGAATGATTATTGACAAATTTTTTTCTTAATAGAACTGTTATTGTCTATATGCACTGCTTTGTACTTATTTATGTACAAAAAATAAAGAATTTAAGTTTATTTTAGGGTAAATTACACAAATGGTCCCTAAAGTATGCCCTTGATTTCATTTTGGTCCCATATCTTTAATTTGCATCAATTGCATCCCTAAACTTCTCACATTAATCCAATGCAGTCGCTTTCTTAATTGTTGTCTAAAAAACATACTAAAAATTGCTTATGCCAGTCTCACATCAAGCATAACGGGCATTTTGACACATCTATTTATACCATATACTATCATTCAAAGAGCCAAACACGCTATGTATTTGACTTTCATTAATGAAGTGGAAGTCTTAGATGTGTGTTATTTTGTAAATAACGTTCATTTCACTTGTCTTGCTATTCATTTAGGTGGAAAATGAGAAATTGTTTCTAATGCTCTCCAAATGCCTTATGTGAAGCTGACATAACCATTTTTCATATTTTTTTTAGACGATAGTTAGGATAGGGGACTACATTGAATCAATGTGTAAAGTTTAGGAATGTAATTGATACAAATTAAAAACTACAGACCAAAATGAAATTAATGGTATACTTTCGGGATATTTATGTAATTTGCCCATTATTTTACTATCATGAAACTAAACTTGAACTGTGTGGGAAAATATGGATGTTCAACTGAAATTGATTGTTGTGTGGATGTAAAACCCAGGTCCGGAATTTCACTTATTATTGCTTTATTAATTTATCTTGTCCAAACTGCAGATAAAAGATGCTTACACACTCAAGTTCTTTGAAAACAATTCAAGCCGCCTGCCAAAGTGGTGCAATGATGCGGACACTGTGAAGCTTCCTTTCTGCCAAATTCGAGGGAAGTATAGAATGGAATTACCTGGATACAATACAATGGATCCGTACCCACATATGAATGAAAGGTGCCCATCTCTTCCCCCAAAATACTCTAGGCCTAAGGGTTGTTAAAAGTCTTTTGATTTGTTTATTTTGTTTCGGAGTTTTTATACCACTGCTTTGTATAATACTAGGTTACTAGGTTGTATTTTTTTTTTTTTTTTCTGTATACAACTTTTCTGAAGCAAAGACTTGAAAGATTTCGAAAGTTTAGTTGATATAGGTTTGAAGTTGTTTGTAAATTTGCTATCACAATACAACGAGAGTAATAATAATTTCATTGTTACTGCACAGTTCTACTTTGGAATATCCTAATTCACAAATCTAGATGATGGAATAAGGTTTGATTTGGATGGAATTGCTATTCTTTTTCAAAGATCAATAAATTATGGAAGGCATCCTACAAAAATTGTGAAGTTAGATCTAATCTATGTAGAGTTGAAGTGCCTAATATTGAATTTGAACTTTGAATCACATGGTTATGATTTTTATTTTTTTTCCAAGTTCATATATTATTCTCATTCATTGAGGTTTATAAAGTTTGAAAATTAAACTTCGTTTGGTTTTAGATTTTTGGTTAAAAAAGCGCAAAAAGACAAAATTGATTACATAAGCCAATAAGACAAAAATGTCATATTTAAACTATAATCATTATATTTTTTTTCTTACAAAAGTTAAAAAAGTCAAACCAGACGAGACTAAAAAAGTTAAGTTAAAAAAGTTTCAACACAAAAAAGTCAGTTAAAATGGTCCAAATGATTTTTGTAGCCCTAAAAAATCCAAAAAGTGATAATCCTAAGAACTATTCATTTTGAGATTTGAAAAACTTGTGCCAATTTAAATTAAAATGATTAAAAGTAGTGTTTAGTAACTTGTGGGTTTTTTTTTTTTTTTTTTTTCTATGTACAAAGAACATAAAATGTGTTTATTCTTTATTCTTTTTATTTTTATTTTTATTTTTTGGTAAAAACTAAAATAAATAGCATATTTTCTCAAAGCATAAAAAATCAAAGAGTAGCGCTACTCTAACTAAAAAGTTAGATTCATTTTTCAAATCACATGGCACTCTATTATAATATCGGGTAAATTATAAATATATTTCTTGAGATTTGATTAAAATATAGATTGTTTTATGTGATTTTGAAAATTACATAATGTCCTTTTAAGTTTCTAATTATATAGCAAATAACTCATTTTATTAATAAATCATCAAGTCAATTTAGTTTCGTTTGAGAAGAAGGGTTGGATTGGGTTTGGGGGCAATTTTAGCTCCAAAAAGATAAAATACTGTCTAATAAAACAAAACAACACATCCAATCCATAATCATTACATTCTTTTTCTCACAAAAAGTCAAAAAAACCAAAAAGTCCTTTCCAAACGAGACTTTTTAGCTCCAAGCTAAAATAGCCAAAAAGCCAAAAAAATCAAAAAGCCAACCCACTTTCCAAACGAATGCTAACTGTTTTAATCATGTTAGAAATATATTTTAATTAACAATTTAGATAATTTTATTGTTATATAGAAGAATAATTAAAAAATTTATTTTCTTGTTAATTTTGTTAAACAAATTTTTTTGACAATGAGATATTTGTAATTTTCAAAATTACAGGAGACAATTTATATTTTAAGTAAATCTTAAAATGTGTATTTATAATTTACCTTAAAATATTTAAGTCAACTCTCTCTAATATTTTCTCTAATTATTAATCAATCATCTTTTTTACATTACATATCACTAAGTTTAAAAAATGAGTTTAAAAAATAGACTTGTATATTATTTTTCAAAATGAAAACAAGTGTAGTAAGTTATCAAAAAGGGGAGTGGTTGGACGTGGTTGTTGGAGCAGAAACGGTGGCCAGAGGACAGAAGAGTGAAGGAGGTAAGAAGGAATGAAACTTATTTTGAAAATAAGTAAAAACAAAATTTTCTTATTTCCTCAAATTTGTAGCCAATTGTTTTTACGAGTGAAAACAATTAGCAAATGTATTTTTTATTTTAATTTTCAAAAAATTTAAAGCAAAGCAAAATAAATAAAATAATAATTTCACCAAACTTACCCTAAGATTTAGGGTTCCAATTAAAATATTTGTGAAGTTACCAACTCTCAAGGATTAAAATTAGGCGGTCAAATAACAGGCTTCCCATCTACTATTAAAAACAAAAATTTAATAGAGAAAAGAAGGGGAAAAAAAAAAAAATAGAGAAAATATGATCCCAATATGAATACAACAAATCGAGTACCAAGAGCACGTGAAAATAAATAAATATATAATAAGCATTTAAATGTAGGGGTGCAACTCGGGCGGGCTCAACCCGAGCAACCCGAGCCCAACCCGAGTTTTTTTAGGGTTTGGGCAACTATATCTTGTAATCTGAACGGGCTTGGGCAAATTTTTGATGCCCGAATTGTAATTCGGGCCGTGCTTGGGCAGAACCAATGGCCAACCCGAGCAACCCGAACCCGAATTGAATTTAATATATTATATAAATTATATAATATATAATAATATATGAGTATAATTTAAATAAACTCTATATAATATACTAATAAAATTAATAAAAGAGTTCAAGTCTTAATTTTATTTTTTATTTTTTTTTGGTTAGTCTTCTTTTAAGTAAAAGAGTTAGTCCCTTAATTTTTATTTTTTCATTTTTTTTGGTTAGTCTTCTACCATTAGATTAGCAATCTTTTATGTCTACCTTTAGATCTACCTAACAGATTTGTGGCACTCAGGCAATTCGGGCAACCCGAGTTCAAAATACAAAGCTTGGGCCGGGCTTGGGCAACAATGTTCGGGTTCATGGTCGGGCTTGGGCGGGCTTGGGCACTGCCAAATACAATTCGGGTCGGGCTTGGGCAGACCCCCAACCCGACCGAACCCGCCCGAGTTGCACCCCTATTTAAATGTGGTAATGATCCAATATGGTTAGAGTTTTCTCTTCTGTCGCTATAGATAATTTTTGTCCCACGTAGACATGTTTTGTGTTGACAATCCCAACTTTTGGAATGCGTGTAACTTTCCAATAATTTCCACCTTCTAAGTCTTTGTTCAGGCTCGAAATCAATCTGTCAGAAATATTAATCAAATAAATAGATTTAAGGTTGCTTAGATATTCAATGCCAGAGGGCAACTCTTCTACCAATTTACATTCCCGTATTAATAACACTTCAAGATGAGGCATCGAGCGAGCCTCCACTTTCACCCATTTCAATCCTTTTATTCCACAAGTCCTATTCTCACGAGTCTTTTAAATCCACTAGTCTTGAAACACAATTCTTGTCCTTGAAACCACAGCTTTGTATAATACCAGGTGGCTGTATGATTTGTTTTTCTGTATACAACTTTTCTGATGCAAGGACTTGAAAGATTCCAAAAGATTTGTTGATGTAGGTTTGATATTGTTTGTAAATTTGCTACCACAATATGCACAGAGAGTAATGGTAATTTCATTGTTATTGCATAGTTTTACTTTTATGCTGTGTTTGGTTGGGGGATTTGGGAAGGGATTTAGAAAGGAAAAGGGAAAAGTTGTGTGAAACTATGTGAAATATAGGCATGATTTATTCACATTTCATCTACCTTTTCCATTTCCCTTTCTAAATCTCTCACTCAAATCCCCCAACCAAACGCAGCATTAAAAATCCTAATTAAAAAATATAAATGATTGAATAAGGTTTGATTACGATGGAATTGCTATTTTTTTCAAAGATCAATAAATTTTGGAAGGTATCTTACAAAAATTGTCAAGTTAGATCTAATCTATGTAGCTATTTGATGAGCCATCAGGATTCCACGGTTGATTTTGACGTGCTTCTCCTTCAACTGGTTGCTCTATTACATCATGTTGCTCAATTAGTTGGGTAGAAAGAACTCATGTTGTGTCAATCACGTCATGTCTGCAAAGTGGAAAATCAACTAAAGACCTCTAAACGTAGGAAGCTTGTCTTCACGCCTACACTCTTAGCCAAGTCATCATTCTCCGATTCTTACTACTACATATATTGAGTTTGAACTTTGAATCATATGGTCATGACTCAAAAAATTTTAACTGATTGCAAATATTATTCTCATACGTTGAGGTTTATAAAGTTTGAAAATAAGTTTTCAAATGCTTTTTGCAGCCCTAAAAAGATTCAAGAAGTGATATAATCCTAAGAAATTCATTTTAGTGGTGCTACATGCACCAATTAGTGTACTAACTAATGTACCAACACTAGTTATGACATTATTATTGACCTCACTTATTAATCACATTACAAATATAATTTTTTTTTTAAATTATGCCGCATCATCAATTGGTACACTAGTTAATACACTAATTGGTGCATATAGTTTTATTCAATTCATTTTGAGATTTGAAAAACTTGTGCCAATTTAAATTAAAATGATTAGAAACCAATATTTGAAGAAGTGTTCATGAACTTTTGGTTATTTTTTCCCCCCTATGTACAAAGAACATAAAATATGTTTATTTTTTATTCTTTTTATTTCATTTTATTTGTAAAAACGACAATAAATAGCATATTTAGTATACATGTTCTCAAGAACATAAAAAATCAAAGAGTAGTGCTACTTTAATAAAAAAGTTACGCTTATTTTTCAAATCTAATGATGTAGCACTCTATTAAAATATTGATAAATTATAAATACACTTCTTGAGATTTGCTTAAAATATATATTGGCCTCTATGATTCTAAAAATTACATCTCGCCTCTTTAAGTTTCTAATTACATAACAAATAACTCATTTTATTAATAAATCATTAAATTAATTAATTATTTTTAATGATATCATAAGTATGTTTCAATTAACAATTCAAATAATTTATTATTATATAGGAGAATAATTAAAATTTTCATCTTTTTGTTAATTATGTTAAATAATGTTTTTTGATAATGAGGTATTTGTAATTTTCAAAATTACAAGGGACAATCTATATTTAAAGTAAACCTTAGGAGGTGTATTAGTAATTATTTTAGAATATTTAAGTCAACTCTTTTTCTAATATTTTCTCTAATCATCAACTATTTATTTATTTATTTTTTTACATTATACATCATCGGATTTCAAAAGTGAGTTTATAAAATAGATTCGAATACCATTTTTCAAAATGAAAACAAGTATAGTAAGTTATCAAAAGAAGGGAGTGGTTGAAGGTGATTGTAGCAAAGACGGAAGGGTGAGGGTGGTAGGAAAGAATGAAACTTGTTTTGAAAATAATTAAAATCACAATTTTCTTATTTCCAGAAATTCAAAGAACTATAGCTAGATTTTTCTGAAAGTGAAAACAATTAGCAAATGCGTTTTTTTATTCAAATTTCAAAAAATCTAAAGCTAAAGAAAAATAAATAAAATAAAAATCTCACTATTCAAAAATTTGTGAAGTTAGCAAACGTGTTTTTTAAAAGTAAAAACAATAAACAAATGTGTGTTTTATTTCAATTTCAAAAAAATCTAAAGCTAAAGAAAATTTTAAAAAATTAAAAAAAAACTCACCAAATGAACTCTAAGATTTACAATCCCAATTAAAAAATTTGTGAAGTTACCAACTCTCTAGGATCAAAATTAGAACGTCAAACAACGGGCTCCCAGGCTGCTAGAAAAACAAAAATGTAATAGAGAAAAGAAAAAAAAAATAGAGAAAAATTTGATCCGAATACAAATACAACAAATCAAGTACCAAGAACACATGAAAATAAATAAATACATAATAAACATTCTAAATGTGGTGATTAGAGCTCTCTCCTCCCTCACTATAGATAATTTCCTTTCCAATAGCCATGTTTTGTGTCCCCAATCCAAACTTTTGGGATGTGTGCAATTTTCAAATTTTTCCCACGCTCCAAATCTCTGTTCATACTCGATATCAATCCATCAGACATATCATACAAATCAAGTGATTTAAGGCTGGCTAGATGTTCAATGCCAGAAGGTAACTCCTCTACCAATTCGCAGTGCCGGATAAATAACTCTTCAAGACGAGGCATTGAGCCAGCCTCCACTTTCACCCGTCTCAATCCTTTTAATACGCCGAGTCTAAGTCTCAGAAGTCTTTGAAATCCACCAGTCTTGAAACACAATTCTTCCCCTTCATGAGTCCGAACAAGTTCAAGTTCAACCAAATTGGGCAAATCTTGAAGGGATTCCAGTGGATCAACATCCCTTAACTTACTCCATGCTAAAACTACGCTTACCAAGCTATGCAGTGAAGGTATCCAATTCGGTACCCTACGTAAACTTCCACCTAGGTAGAGGGTTCGAAGATGTTGAGGTGGTGAGGAAAGAGAATCTAGATCAATGATCTCGTCTTCCTCTGTTGCACGAACAATCAATGAGCGAAGGTTACTAAGCTTCTCAAGGGACGAGCATAACACCCTCCCATCTTCATTTCTCAGGCTTTCAATCTGTAATTTCCTCAGTTGAGTCAACTTCCCTACCTCTCCTAGCAAAATGGTCCCATTGTCATGGTTTGTTTCAATAGAACAAAGTTTCTGTAAGTATGACAACCTTCCTATTTCCGTCGGGGCTTTGAATCCGCAAAGGTGTTGAAAACAAGTGGAAGGAACAAGATCTTGTTTGTAGCGATACAACAAGATATGGCGAAGTTGTTGGAGCTTCAGGATATTATCAGGCAACTCAGTGACGTACGTATCTTTGAGGTCCAATGTTTCCAGGTTTTGGAGCTTTCCAATCGACTTCGGAATTACTTTTACATTGGTTCCCCTCAAACTTAAATACCTGAGTTGAACTAGTTTCAAAACTTCATTTGGGAATGTCTCCAACGAGGCACCTTTCAAGTCTAGCACGGTTAGCAACCGTAGACCATCATTTGACGATGCAAGCATGGAGAACTTGGACAGTGAACCTGTTGCGTTGAACATAAGCAAAGAACGGAGTCGAGTGAAACACTTGCTTTGTTGTGTATTTTCCAAATGACTGTGGATTGATAAGCGCCGCACCTTTTTGGGCCACTCTCTGCTTTTTTCACCGGCTAGTGTCACAACATTTTGCTCTCCCGACTTCGAAACAATCATTTCACGCCAAAGGTCATGGATGCGATACGTTGCGACCCTTCTATCTCTTCTTCTCTCTGCCACTTGAACCAAGCTTCTATTGATTAGCTCATTGAGGTAGCCCTCGGCAACTTCTTCTTTTGTCATTCCTACTTTCATTTCTACAAATCCTTCTGCCACCCATAATCGAATCAATCTCCAATGGTCAATGAAACAATCCTCTGGAAAAACACTTAGATAGAGAAAGCAGAACTTCAGATAATAAGGTAAATCTATGTAACTGAGGGACAATAATTTGTTCATGCTTTGGAGTTTGTCATTTCCTTCTAGTTCTGCACCGAGGCTGCGGTAGATCTTATCCCACTCATCCACACTGCTCTTATCCTTTGTTGATAAAAGACCACTAATTGCCACAATTGCAAGCGGCAATCCCTCGCATCTATTCAAGATGTCTTTTGAAAGTCTTTCCAAATGTGAAGGGCAAGAATTCTCCATAAATGTTTTCCTGCAAAACAATGTCCAGGATTCTTTGCGAGGCAAGGGCAGGAGATTATAGACATCACCATGATATTCTTTACTCGTGAAAGAGGCTAAATCTGCATTTCTGGTTGTGAGCACTACTCGACTGCCACAATTGCCAATGGGAAACACATATCTAAATGATTGCCAGGCATGAATATCCCATACATCATCGAAAACAAGCACATAACTCTTTTCTTGCAGGAAAGCATTAATTATCCCTTTCAAGCTGTTGGTATCCATGTTGTCCATCCTTTGTGGGACTGGTTGCTTGCTTTCTTCAAATAATTGTTCGACGATGCCTTTTAGGAGCACCTCAATCTTGAAGGATTCAGAAACAGTGATCCAAACATGGCTCTGGAAACGATTCTTCACAACTGCATCATCAAATACCTTTTTAACGAGTGTTGTTTTGCCCAATCCGCCCATTCCTGATACGGAAAACACCTTCAGTCTGGGGTCTTCATGCACCAACCACGTAATTAGTTGCGATTTGGGCTTGTGGATGCCCACAAGCTCAGATTCATGGAGTAAAAGGGCATCGCCACGATAATCATGGCATGCTGTGTTAAGACCAGTGGACCTTGAGCTTGAGCCTTGCTCTAACATACCATACATATCATGGTACCTCTGATGTCCCTTGGAAATTTCTTCGACTCTGGACTTCATTCTTTGAACTTCAGAACCAATTTGATGACGAGCTTTTAAAGTCTTGATAAAGCAAGAAACCTTACGAAGAGAACCGCGAAATCCAGCGCCATGACGATGTCCGAGGCGAAGCATGTACAACTCGAGAACATCTCCAATGTCGTACGCAGCTTCTCGGACTTGCCTGACCCATACTTTGAGTTGGGGGTTGTTGTCTTCCATAGCATCGGCAACTCTGAGGAAAGCTGTCATGCGCTCGAATTCATCTCTGATGTATTCGATCTCTTCTTGAACTCCGATCAGCAAATTGGCCTCTTGTTGGAGGAAGGGTGCAAGGTTGGCTAGTAGATGGAGCACCGCAATCTCCACCATTTTGCTCTGTTGATGAGAAAATAATGGAGCTCTGAATTCTGAACTGAGTTTGGAATAATAGGTGAGTAGTGAGTTTGAAAATTGAGGATTTGTAATGCTCAAATTCAACTGGGTTTCATTGATCCTTGATTGGGGATTAGGATCCTCTCCAGCCATGGTTTCCTCCAGCAGTGTCCTGCAGTTTGTACCAGATGAAAACACATGGAGAAGAGTTGATCCAATGGACTGACATGGACCACGTAGTGCAGATGGTCAGAACAAATTGAAACGGTACCGTTTTCGAAAAAATAGCATCGTTTTGACTAACGGTGGCAATGGCAAACGGAGTGCATTTCTTTTTTCTCCCTTTGAATTTCAATTTGAGTCCAAAAAAATAAAAAAAACAACAATGGTAGAGATCACTAATTTTGGAGCTCTAAAAAGACCATTAATGACATGACACTCAATAAAAAAAGAAAAAAAATATAACACCAAGGCCAAAACATCAAATCATTCTTGGTGAGGCCCACTGCCACATCATTAGTGATAACACTAATTAGTGCTCTCACACATTTTTCAAAAAACAATGGGAAAGAACCCTTCAAACATCAGCAGCAACACCGACTACTGCCGCTGTGCATAGACCAGCAGTAGCACCGACGGAAAGAACCCTTCAAACATCAGCAGCAACACCAGCAAAAAGAACCCTTTACACAGACGGAAGGGACACTCCATTTTGGTACATTGTCAACTTTCTCTCTATACATATCCTTGGAAGAGATGTTGTGTTGATTTGCTTGGAGGTGTTGTGTTTATTTACATTATCAACTCTCACTCTCTCTCTCTCTCTCTCTCTATATATATATATATATTTTATCTAATTACATTATAAAAATATTTTATTACTTTTGGTGCTCTGTGTTTTTTTTATTGCATTTGGTGCTCTGTTTTCTTCATTACATTTGGTGGTCTGTTTTATTATTTTTATTTTATTTTTTAATTGTTCTTTATGAAAGTGCTTTTTATTCAATGATAATAACATGATAGTGTTATATATAATTTTTGTTGAACCTAATTTGTGAATCGATTTTTTTAAGTTGGTATAATAAAAAAATTTAGTTTATTGGATTTGTTGCCTAATTTGTGAATCGACTTTTTCATTCATGTTTAAGAGATTTTTGTCTAAAACAAAACCATTTTATTCTTGGTAAGGGCTGGCAGTGACACCAATTCAATTTGCGTTCTTAGCAAGTAGCTGCTGCTGCATCAATGTTGAAGGGCATGTTTCTCAAAATACATTAAAAAAAAAAAAAATTGGTGCCCCAAAGTCATGATACAAAATAAATCTTTTGTTCATTCATCAAAATAAATTCACCAATGTCATTACAATGTTGAATGGTGCACTACCATTACATTCTGTTAATCTCCATTACAGTGCTTTCAAAATAAATAGAAAGTTCACATTTTGTCATTCAAAGGTTTATATTTTTGCCCACCAAGCTAGTAGATTCATAAACATTTTTTTTTTTTGAACAAGCAAAACTGGGAAATATAGTAAAGAGGAGAAGTCATTACATCTTGATGCAGAAGAGAACAAAGCTCTAAAGGGGGCAAAACAACCCAGTTAACAGGTAAAGACCTGTGTGTATGAGCCTTGGCAAGGCAATGCGCCACTCTGTTGTAACTACGCCTCGTCCAGCAGAAGGACACATTCCTCATTTGGGAGAGCCCTTTATGCTGTGTTTGATTGGAAGATTTGGGGAGGGATTTGGAAAGGGAAATGGAAAAGGTAGGTGAAATGTGAATAAAATATGTATATATTTCACATAGTTTCACACACCTTTTCCCTTTCCCTTTCCAAATCCCTCTCTAAATCCCCCAACCAAACACACCATTAATATCAGAAAAGATGGCCATGCAATCCCAGGGGGGAACCATTTCAGACACACATAACTTAATAACCAGTGAGTAATCACTTTCGACAACCACATTGGTCAAAAGCAAATCTCTGGCCATCGAGCAGGCCAATCGAACCACATTTTGTCATTCAAAGGTTTACATTTTTGCCCACAAAGCTAGTAGATTCATAAACAAGGAAGCAACCAAAGCAAACACCAGCTACTCAGCTCTGCACAATACTTCTCTACTATTTCTAGCCTTACAATTTTGATCCTTGCCTGCAATCACTTGTACATCTAGTATGCTCTCCCTAGTTGTTGAAACTTCGACCTTCACTAACACATTGCAAAATAAGCATATTTTGCACCACAAAGGATCAAAATCTATGTGAAAGTCCTACAACAAAGTTGATATTTAAAGACCAAACATTCACAACCATCAACAACCAATAAATTAGGCAACAAATCCAATAAATTAATTTTTTTTCTTATACTAACTTAAGAATGCAATTCACAAATTAGGTTAAATTTTTTTATAATAACACTAACATGTAATAACACTAACAAATACAAAGTTCACGTTATGTCATTCAAAGGTTTATATTTTAGCCCACAAAACTATTAGATTCGGAAACAAGGAAGCAACCAAAGCAAACACCAGCCACTTTGCACAATACTTCTTTACTACTTCTAACCTTACAATTTTGATCCTTGCTTGCAATCCACTTGTGCATCTAGTATGCTCCCCCCCAGTTGTTGAAACTTCGACCTTCACTAACACATTGCAAAATAAGTATATTTTGCACCATAAAGGATCAAAATCTATGTGAAAGTCCTACAACAAAGTTAATATTTAAAGGCATATTTTGCACCATAAAGGATCAAAATCTATGTGAAAGTCCTACAACAAAGTTAATATTTAAAGGCCAAACATTCACAGCCATCAACAACCAATAAATTTGGCTAAGGCTGATATTTGGGATTTATCTGACTTGATTAAAACCAGGGTGGCTATTTGGTTGATATCATCATCAAAAGCGTGGCAGTACACGGTTAGTGATTTTATTTATAATCTAACCAAATTCGCGTTTGTATTAGGGCGGGTTGAGAAATCTTGTTGGCAGGATGGGTGTTTTCTGGGCTGGGCAGAGGTGATTGTGTTGTTAGGTGCTGCGGTTTTGTCTGTTTGGATCAGTGCATTTTTTTTTGTTTTGTTGTTCTTTGTTGGTACCTTACCAACTTGGCCTTGAGCCTTCAGATGATTGTGTAGTCCTCTCGGTGCCAACCTAGTTGGGATTAGGATGGGTTACTATGATGTGTGGCTCATTGGCTTTCTTTATTGATGTATTCTACTATGTTTTCATTCTAGTTTCATCAATAAAGTGTTTTTTTTTTTTTTTGCTGATAAAAAAAAAAAAAAAAAACCAATAAATTAGGCAACAAATCCTATAAATTAATTTTTTTTCTTATACTAACTTAAGAATGCAAATTCACAATTTAGGTTAAAAAAATTTATAATAACACTAACATGTTTATTATCTTTCAATAAAATGGACATTGATGCATGAATAAAAAACATAAAAATAAAAAATAAAATAAAAAACCAGAGCCCCAAATGCAATAAAAAATATAAAAAAAAATCGGAGCCCCAATTGCAATAACATTTTTTACAATGCAATTGGATAAAAAAAAGCATTAGTCTGATACAGTAATAAAAAACAATTAAAAAAAAAAACACTAAATTTGATACAAGAACAAAAAACAATATATATATATAGAGAGAGAGAGCAAGAGAAGAGTCAATTTTGTTTAAGAATAAACAAAAAAAAAAAAAAAAAAACAAAAACCGATTAAAACATTTAAAAAACTTATTTAAAAGAAAATATGAATTAAAAACTCAAAAAACTATTCTCAAAATCAAACAAGGTGATTAATTTTCTTTTTTTAAAACTTTTTACAAAAAAAAACCAAAAAATTAAAAAATCAATAAAAAAAAAATCCCATTGCAGGAAGAAAATGTTAGCGTTGGAGCTAATCTGGTTAGCATGCAGTTGGTGGAGCCCACGATTGGAGCGGGGAGGACAACCTGGTGCTGTGCTTTTTGGGTCCCACGAACCGTCACAAAAGGCATACAGAGCCTCTCTATAAATTCAAGCGCCACCTAATGTGATCATGTCCACAACTACAAGGCCATTCCATTCCACTCCAGCTCTTCTTCACTCTTTTCTCTCTTCTAACCTCAAAAACCATACACAAAGAGAGAGAGAGAGAGAGAGAGAGAGAGAGAGAGAGAGGGATCAGCTGTAGTTGTCTCGCTTGACCGAAGTAAAAGAAAGAGACAAGAGGGATGTCCCTACTTGTACATACTTTAAACTCCCACTTGTGTTTTAAGCTCCCACTTGCACTTGTGTGGTAGTGGGTAAATTTCTCATCATTGTCAAAAAGAAAACAAATTGAATCAGGACAATATATAAGAGGTTTTGGTTAATATGTGTCTTAAGATGATTTGTTAAGAAAACATTAAATGAATATATTTATATTAATTTGTATAGAAAATAGTAAAACATTAAAAGTTGTCTTAATTATAGAAAATAGTACAATATTAATTTGCATTTATAATTATTTGTATATATGTGAATTATAATTTTTAAATGTTTTTTTTTTTTTTTGCACAAAGAAAAAGAAATATAACAAATGAAGCATATCTTCAATCAATTATTTTATGTTTACTTTTGTTCAAAATTTAAAAATAATGTATGGACAAAATTTATAACTAAATTAAGGAAAAATTTATTTCTAACAACATTTTTTTACTTCTACATAAATACTTAAAAAGACAAAGCTAAAAGAGGTAGTCAATATAAATATTATACATTAAGTAAAAAAATGTGGTTAGCAATTATGCTTACATAAATTTACTATAATTTTAATTTCGAATTTAAAAAAAAAAACTATTTTAAAAGCATTTTATTTAGTTAGTACCAAATGAAATTTTCTTTGCAAAAAAGAAAGTTATAAAATTTTGTTGCAAATTTTCAAATGTCTATTGTTAAACATTCTATTTTACTTACTTGTTTGTTTGCTTGCTTATTTTGGAGTTTTGATCTTTGATTTTTACTCCACATTCATCATATTGTTTTATTTATTTTTCTTCTTCTTACTTGATTTTCGCATGACACTTCTTTCATAGTGTATCTCTGAGTATATTAATGAAAATATCATACACTTGAAATGTATAAAATTACAATATATAGGGAGAAAAAAAAGTAAGTAATTGCTCAAAACTAAAACTATTTTAAGAAAAAACAAAAAAATAAAAACAAAAATGAAATTGTTGGAAATAGAAAATGATTTATTTATTAATTAATTAATTTTAAAAATAAACTTTTAAAGAAAACAAAGAAAATTATATATATATATATAAGTATATAAACCAAACATAAAATATAATACAAAAAAATAAATAAATTATAGGATTTTCAAGAAGTGAGACCCACAGACAAATGTTGTAAATCATGTCTATTCATATACTTTTTGTGTATGTTTTTTTTTTTTTTATACTTTTAATCTCGAGAATGACATTGAAATAGTTTGCACTTCTTATATTAGGTCCATCTAATAGCTTTAGCAAGCAGAGATGTAATAAATTTTATAACACCAAACACAAATAATTGTGAGACAGTATCTAAAAAAATGAAAGTAATGTTCAATGATGACGTAGCAGCACATCTGACAGTTTAATTGGAAGTATAACCAGATAAATCACCATATAAAAGGAAAACAATCTTTATTTTTCATCACAACAATTATATAATTCAATATATGAATTTTAATGTCTGTCACTCTTCCACACGTCCAATTGTCTATCAATATTATAATGAATGCATGAACCAAAAAAAGGGAATATTTGAAAGGATAAAGAGATGTGGTTTGAGACCTTTCAATTACTGAATTATATTAATTAATAGTTATTAGGCTTCAACGGTCGGACTTCTAGTATTTGTTAGCCATTAAAGTTGAGATCTTTGGTTTAATCTATATTCATTTAATAATTTGAGAGTTGACACATGTCAAGTCTTTACACAAATACTTGACACATTTTTTGAGCGTTATTAATGAAATGTAGAGTGTAATTTTTTTTTTTCTTCTCTTTTTTGCAATTGCAATATGTTATTTTTAATAAGAATTTATATTTGTTTTAGATATTTTTTTAATATACAAATTATTTTTTACAATGTAATTTTTTTTTCTTTGTTTTTTTTCCGCAATTGCAACCTGTTATTTTTTAATAAAAAATTATATTTATTTTAGATATTTTTTTAATATAGAAATTATTTTTTTTAGATTTTAATAAAATGCACAGTGTTTTTTTTTTTCTCTTTTTTTTCGCAATCGCAACTTGTTATTTTTAAATAAAATTTTATATTTATTTTAGATATTTTTTTAATATACAAATTATTTTTTAAACTTGGCCTTAGTACATTTTTTGAGTATTATTAATGAAATGCACAGTGTAATTTTTTTTCTATTTTTTTTTTCCGCAATTGCAACATGTTATCTTTTAATAAGAATTTATAATTGTTTTAGATATTTTTTTAATATACAAATTATTTTTTTTTAGATTTTTTTATAAAAATAATTTAATAATCCCATCACGAACCATAGTGTATAGAAGAAGTTGAAAATGGTGCGGTAATAGGTATGGAAGAAGTCAAAAAGGCTTGTGGGTTTGGAGAAGTTAATAAATCGTGAGTTTTTTTTTTTTTAAATCAAAAAATTAAAAGGTTAAGATTGAGATATTGTCATGATCCAAACCTGATACCCAAAGGTTCAACATTGCAACAAGCAATAATTGAAGTCATAACAAATTAATAGGGCAGCGGAGTAAAATAAAAGGATACCAAAATCTTTATTCAAGTTTAACAAAAATGTATATATTGGAGCTTCTATTCAATTGCAATACCAGAGTTGTACTATGACTACAAAGTGCCTTGAGCTTATCCCATGCACTGGTCTTGACACGTTACCTTAAAATTAATACATCACTCTTTCTTTCTGCTATCAAAGATCTTCTTGACTTTTTCTATTTTCTTCCCCTTTCTTAGTTTGTTTTTCCTTTTTCCATTGATAGCACCACTCCTTTTATACCAAGTTTAATACTTGCTCAACACTTTTTAGGTGACACGTAGCCTCTCTATTTTGTAGCCATCATCATGCTTTAGACTTGAAGCTTATCCCTCAAATGGATAAGTTTAGATTAGTTGCTTATTTATACTTGGGCCCAAATATTAAACTAATTATATATCCATTTTTTTCGATAATATATACTCCCTAATTTAATTATGCTTTATCTCATTGTAGACACCCCATTTTTGACCGTCCTCAAAGACTTGGACGTCACCGCTTGAACACTCGGTGATCATCCATGTCCGTGTTTGTTTTGAGTTCCCGGAGGTCTTGGC